AAAGTTGGTTTTCATACATTCATTGCATCTATGTAGGCGCAGAAACGTAGTGGGCGAGATCCTGTTGATATGTATGTCTGCGTGTTTTTGTGTTTGTGTGTAGTTAAAATTTAATCCCTGGCCCTGTATTGGCTCAAAAATCCAATTGCAGTCTTTCCCCAGCACCTGTTCCAGAAGTATGCTCACTGGGGTAATTTCTCTGTTTTTGAAATTGGTATAACTAGAAAGCTGAAGTTTCGACATTTTGAGTTGCGATTGATCCAATGATTATTTTTTTTACAGATCGAAACCGATTTAAAAAAAAAAAGTAAAAACTTCTTGCTTCTGTCTTTTTGCTACAGAACGTCCTCTCTGCGTCTTGGGAATCATGAAAGTCCAGTTGCTGAAGTTCTGTTGTCGTGTGTATGATGCGTTTTCGTACTGAATGCATGTTCAATTGCGTTTTACGACAGAATCATTCCGGATAAAAAAAAAATTGTGCAAAAACGTATGCTCGCGCTGATCCACCCACATGTCCAGCAGCTGAGGTACCTCCGAGTCCTCCCGCTTCTTCTAGAGAACGAATACAGTATGGGTTTTGAGTTCGGACTTGGCTTAAGCAGTTATTTTTTTTTTAATAATTTTCAATAATTCAGTAATTTTCAGTAGTTCTTTTTTTTTTCAACAAATAAGCGATTTTTACCATTTCAGGGATGTTATTCACTGTAATGTTGCACGAAGCGGTGTAAATGGTAATGTATATTTGTCGTGCGCAACACCATCCGCAGTGATTTTGTTCCAGTGGTACGAGCCGTTATCAAAATTTCTCATCCTGAAAACTGTCGAAATGCGCATTCCACGCTTTCCGCTTCGTCCTTTTCAGTTAATTTATTCAGCCGGAAGTGACGCCGATTTTCCGAAAGTAAATTTTTACTTGCAAAATTGATAATTACATGAAGAGCCAAACAGGAATGTATCATCATTGTTGAGCTATTACAGCACCAAAACTTTCTTAAAATAGGCGAACAAGGGATATTTAGACTACACAGTCGTACTGCAATCAACGCATTGTTCTTATCTACTCCCCTCCTCCCTCCCTCCCCCTTCTCGTCCCCAGCCCTCCTCCCCTTGCAAGTGGACCGTATTAACAGTCTGCTGTTACCCAAATCACTTTCAAGTACTGCAGTTTTAGATATATTTAAATGCCTGAAATCACTTAATTTTTAATTAGGTTTTACAGCTATGTAACTGACAAGTTTTCCAGTTTCTTTGACCAATGTTGTATCAGCTTGAGGTCAGCCTGCTGGCGATCCTGACATTCATTTCCGTTTCCTTAATGATGCAGTACCAGCTTAGCGATTCCCGCAGCAGAACTGGCAAGGCCTTTTGCCGTTCCAAAATATCCTTGACATGTTTTGAGCATTAGCACATCATCATCGAATGTTGCCATTCTTAAACCACAGTGCGGTATTTTACCGACTATAAAACTGTCGTTCACAGGGGAGAGGGGTGGAGGGTGAAATTCATTGTGATACTGTCTTTACACTATCAAAATTTTGTGACGGATTACTGGGATAAACAGTTTGTGACGGATTACTGGGATATACTCAAACTCAGTGTTGCAAATATTCGAATTGGACGAATTTAGAGGAACTGAAACCCTGTTGTATCGTTTTTTTTTTTTTCTTGCAGGTCTGTTTAGCTGTGTACAAAGGCGCGGGCCGTAAATTTCATCTTCATTATGTAAATTTCAACGATGAAGCAGTGCACTGTGATTTGGCAGAAGAGGATCGCTCCAGAGCTGTATCTCTCAGCGTTGTAGCATTAAAGCAAATTGATAGGGTTTGTTTCACAGAAATTGCCATTATGGCTTCATTTTTTGACAGTAACGAATAAAAATGAGTGTGTTGGGCGCGCCAATTTTCCTGGTGTCATCCGAAAAATATCGCATTGATTCAGGGAGTGATTTAGGCAGAAATTTTTTGCGAAAGTAGGCATCTTACAATTTGCCTTGCTCAGAGAGAGAGAGTGTGTGTGTGTGTGTGTGTGCGTGCGTGTGTATGTGTGTATGTGTCTGTGTGTGTGATTAGCTTCTTTGGCAGAAAATCTGGCATTACTGTTGCTTCAGGCACATATTTTACGAAAATCACAAAAATTTTAAATGATAAACTCTTATTTTCTCTAGTAAGATGATTTCGCATCTTTTCTTTTTTCAAAAATAAGATTTCGGCCACTAATAAAAACTTGTTTCGACAGATCTTCGGAGGGGCATCCCGTTATTTTATTTCTTTTTTTATTTTTTGTAATGCGCCATCATTTTGAAATTCGATTTTATTTCCCTTTTTACGATTGTTTCTAGCCCCCGGTGAAGAACTCTAACCACTGAGGTTTTTTTTTTATCGCGATAATTTTGCGGATTTATGCACTTAACATTGTTCAGGATGCATTACTGCTGTGTTATGAAAATCGTTGTGTTGTGATTAATCAGGAAGGAGTTGTAAAATCATCGCGTCTCTCACCAGCGCAGTTCAAATTTGGTTTTCAAATTGAATATCTCGTTTCACTTTCCGATTCAATCCTGGGCTTTCATCCACATGGTGTTCAGGTATTTTTGTTTGCTATGATTTTATAAGCAAGTATTTTGACCATTTCCCAAGGGCCACTGTTTTTTCCACCTGGTGTAGTTCTGCGAGAGCGTGGCACTTACAATCGGCCGTGGAAGTAATTTTTGAATAGAGAATTGAATTGAATTTAAAAAAAAAAGATAAAAAAAGATGGTTTCTAGGGTCGTGCATTTGTTGATGGCTCAATTACCCAGGATATCAACGATATTAATAACATTTATCAGGTTGTTGGGAGTGACAAGTAAGTTTCCGATCTTTTGATTTAATTCCAAGAGAATTACTGGTATGAGTAAGACAGCAAGCGGCAGCCGTTATTCGCAAATATTTCGCTACAGGTCTTTCGTGCATTCGGCGTTTGATCCGTCGGCACCGATAGTCTTCCCATTGATTTCACTGCACCTTTGTCATTCCGCAAATGGCCTTTGATCCTTACAATTTGCATAAAATGCATCATTTTAAATTGAAAGGAGGAAAAATAGCATAATTTAGTTGTTGCACGCGATTATCATGTGATGACGGCGCATCACATTTCTTTTACCCTGGATTTGTTAGGTTATTCAGAAGATAATGCGAATTTATCTTAGTTGCATTAGGTTCTTCTAAAATAAAATTTTAATTCAGCTCGGGTACCAATTCCGGGGTTTTTTTTCGAATTTTAAAACAAAAATGTTACCTCCTTCAGAAATTCATTTGTTCGCTTTTGAAAATTGAGGCTAATAACGTGTTTTACCTGTCGAAAAGATTAACTTTTTTACTGTTAAAGGAGCAAATACCAAAATTTTCAGATTAGTAGTCCTGAAGCGAAGAGAAGCTTCATCAGCTGCCGATATGTGTGATTTGTGTATCCTGACCGGGCATGAAAGCACTCTGGCTGGATAATAGCTATATGTGTCATAGGACTTTCCTGTCTTATTTTTATTTTTTTTTGTTTGGATGATCATGAAATCAAACACACTTCAGTTTTGGCTCTAAAACTTTCTTTTTTTCCACTTTAAGTTAGAAATTTGTTAGGAATTTGTGAAAATTGTCACTCTATTGTTAATTGTAAATGCTGAATTTATCAAACTTTAAACTATCACTTGTTTTTTTTTATTCACGTTATTGTATTAATGACTGCGCCTGCCAAGCCAAAAAATGCTCAGGGAACTACAGTATTCGGTTGAAAATTGCACCTAGAATGGCAACAAGTTGACCCAACTTCCGCATCACTGCCGATACAATCCCCCCAAATACTGCAATGCTAAAAATAGTAAGATCCACAGTTCACTGAATACAGCCACTGGAATAAACAGAAGCTGACAGTGAATGAAACCAGCGACTCAGCACAGTCTCTTGTAGGATTTGCATGGCTTTTAAGGTATCCTCGTGACCGCAGGAGGAAACGAACCCAAAGGGGTTGCGCAAACCTTCGCCAGAAAAATTTTGATGGAATGGTTTTTGCGAAGAAAATTGGTTCCTCGACGGTATTTTAAAAGATGATTGAAAGCCAGGTCGTGACACAGCCAGAATAAGGGGACTGCGGTTGTTTGACAATGATCTCGAGGATTCACTCCAAAAGATTTAGCAATCATGGCATGTAAATGTGTGAATTTGCAATAGATGATTCCATAAACGTATTGTCGCTAGTTAATTTTGTGCACATTGCATAGGTATGTGTTGTATGTATGTCTAGTTGGACTTCAATTTTGCACATTTGAGGATGCAAGAAATGTAAATTCCTGGATTTTTGCTACATCGCCATTGCTATGTTTTCTGCCAATCATCTGTTTCTGGTATCCACTGTTGCAACGTCTCCTGCGCACTCCATTCTCATGTGATATAGCATTTTGTGTGTGGTTTGATCACTGTGTCGTTGTGATTCTCATTTCAGCTGTAAACATTAGCTTATTGCTGCTGACCATCCTGAATTTCCCATCCCCATCAACGATATTCTGGTTGACACTGGCAAAGCAGATGTACTGAGCAGTCACAGCTTTATTATTCGTACTGCGTAGAGGACATTAGGCTACAATTGCAATATTCGCTGAGCTGTTTTTGTGATATTTTCATACA